GAGAGAAAAATTACAGGGATGGTCGAGGAAAGCCAGCAGGAATTTGAAAGTGAAGAATTATGAAAAAGGTGAAGAATGTTCTAGGGGATGCTGCTTGAGCAGKCTGGTTGGATTCGATGACCTTTAAYTATCCCTTCCAACTCTAYCCATTCCRTGATTCTCTAAYATTGAAAATAATAAGGCAAGAGGTCTTGAAAAGGTAAGGATCTCCCTGGGAATGAATGRAGAAGAAAGAAAAACACAGGGAAAAGCTGAGTAAGGTCTCAGATGAAGACCTTGGCTAAGTCTAAATAGAGTCCAGCAGAATGGCTCATGAAAATGAAGATATAGAAGCAGCAGCTACCTCAGTTTACCAATAAGAATTCCAAATGTTTGATGAACACAAGGCCCAGGGGCGGGGTAAGTTTCAGAACCTTATGGAGTAACTGGCTGTGAAATCACTGCTCTTTTCATAAGTGATTTTATTAAAACTACCAACTTTGCATAAACAACAGGAATCATGATCCCTGCAACATGTAAATGAAGAATCTGGGTTTTAAATGTCTGYCTGGTYGTGAAAACTTCAGGTTTCTTGCCCCAATTTTCTGTGGTGGACAAGTCCTACATAAGACCACATCAAACTGTCCAATTCCCCATCCTGCACATGAGACAAGTGGGGATGGATCCTAATTTGTGCTCCTACTACAGCTGGAAGCCTTGGCAATTTGATGAGCAAACTAGTTGATTAAAAAGTGAGATAATCATGTGCTACTGGCAGAGAATTGGGGGGGAAAAAAAGGCAATTATTGCCTGGAAATTGGCAAAAGCTGATGGAAATGTCTGGTGAGATGGTCAGAAAAGGTCAGGAGGCACAAAAGATAGAGGCAGGACTTCCCCAAACACATGCTCTTCCAATTACAAGATACAGTGAAAAAAAAAAACCAACCATATATGATAATTCTGTGTTAATAAGCCTTTGTAATTCTGTGTTAATAAACAACCTGTACTGTTAATTCAAATTTTAACAAATTTTAACAAATTCACCACTGTCCTGAAAAAAGTGTGAGATCCAAATGTTGGGATAACAACACAGGTCTGTTAGCACAATGGTTGCAGCTGGTTCATAATCCTTTTATTAGGTCTAAACCTCTGGAGAGGGGAAAACCTACTATGCAAAAAAAAGGAGGGGGGGGAAGGAGAAAAGAAATAGAGATGTGTTTTTTCTATCCAGATTTTCACTAATTCTGGATTGTGGTCTGGATCTTGTTTGTTGAGTTTCAAAAGCATTTTCCATTGTTTCCATACTTTCCATATTTCCATTTTCCAGATGTCTTCCTGACAGATTTTTGCCCTGTTGTTTTTGCTTTCTTTTTTTTTTTTTTCTTTCCGTAGCAAAACCCATTTAATTCTTTCCTAGAATAGTGGGTGTTTCCTCCCTTGCAGCCTTCTCTTTTTTTTTTTTCACAGCATAACACTCTGCAACAGCTGTTGAGTATAAGAGCAAGGAAATCTCTGAGATAAGATCTCCTTTCCATCTGGAAACARACTTTGCTGAGTAACTTGTTGGGACCATCTCCTCTATTTTGTTTTCTGAATCCAAAACTTCTTGGACATGAACTACTCAGCTAATTTGAAAACTGTGCCACATTGTCACTAGAAAGTCTGAGGAGTTTTTACTCGTGGTCAATACACAGCTGGACAGTCATCTACTGTTGATTTTTCTCCTGGAACTTCCCTCAGGTGCTCAGGCTGTGCTCTGAGAAGTCTGGAAAAGCAGCCAGGCAAGGAAATCTCACTTGGTTACCTCTTTCTGCCAAATATACAGAAGATTACAGAGCTCCTCAGCTCCAGAATTGTGGAGGAGGAGCCAGCAGCCAGAAGAGGGGAATGAATGGAAAAAATGAGGAATAAATGGTGGGACACATAGGATGGGATCTGAGCATCCCAGTGTCCTTCAAAAGCTCTCTGGAGGTTGGCAGATAAAACACAGGGATAAATGACAGAACAGTGGGATTTTTCAGCAAAAGTTGCAGGCCAGGGGAGATACCCTAAGGGTGCCCAGAACAGTAGAAAATCCTAATAGTGAGGCAGCTGAAGCATGTTTCCAGGGTGAATCATATACCTACATTCAGGTGTCTTAATGTAGATTTTCTCTGGATATTTGTATCAATCAGTCCCACTGGCTGCAATTCCTCCACTGCATTGCATAGATCTCCACTGGAACAGCAGCTCACCTGCTGATTTCACCCAAATTTGTGTGTGGGAACAGGTGAACCAAGTCTCTTCCCTACATAGTGCAATCAGAAAAAAAAAACCTGAATGGCTTGGAAGGGGTAAAAGCCAAGCAGAGGCTGAGAGGTTCATTGAAGGGAAAGCAAATGGTCCAATGAACTTCTCAAACCACTTTTTTGTGGGTTGTAATCCGGGATGAAAATACATCAACAGGGTTCCTTCTTCATACAAGCTGGACAGCAGTGCAGGGATGATGTGTGACTGCAGCTCAGCACTCAGCCCTCAGCTAAAGATGGGATCCAAATAAGAGAGCTATGGAAAAGTTGGAAAATCCAGTAAATTGGTGAAATTCCCTGGTGCTCTAATGGTTATTTACTCATTATTAACACAGTGTCATTTAATGAAATACACTGATTTACCCTTTGACAAGTCAGTATGGGGATTCTTCTAGGAAAAAAAATAAAAAGGTTTAAATGCATTAAAGCTCTTAGCACAAGCAAGATAAGAGGCATTAGAATTGTCTGGGGTTCCCTCTCCAGACAATCAAGCCATGAGCTAATGATGACCTTAGGCTCCTTGCCTCCAATGAGTGACATGACTGACAGGCAGCCATCAGGAGATATGTGAAAGAAAGAATGTGACAAGGAGAAACTAAAAAGAGAAATCCTATCTGGATAATTACTTGGCGAGTTCTGCTATTAAAAAAAATAAAATAAATAAATAAAAATAAAAACCAGCCTGCCAGCAAAGAGCAGCTGAGTGCAGCTTAGTTCAGGATGAGTCCAATGGATGGATCAGTGTGTGCCAAGTGAACTTCAGCATTTTCTTCAGCTTTATTGGGAGCTGAGGGCTTTGTTCAGCAGTGGAACAGGGCATTTTCTGCACGTACCATCTGAGTTTTAATGCTTATGGGTGAAAATGRACTGAATCATCCTAGCTGAGAATGGAAAAACAACTCTGAGATGTTGAGCTCATCATTTCTTATCTTGTTTTGACACAGATGTGCTAATGATATTTAGCAYTTTGCTTACTCTCAAACTCTCCTTTTATAAGCTGGAAAAACAGTTAATTTTTACAGTATGAAATCAGAGAGATATGGAAATAAATGGTGCAACTAAAATTCTATTGCAAATATCAGCAACAAATAAAAGACTTCAAAGGTTTAGGTAAAAAAGTGAAATTTCTTATCTGAGAGGTAAGACTRTGAAAGTAGAAGTAATCAGAAAATTTCCCTGGATCCAGAAATGAAGAGCTAAGGGCACTCACTGATATTACTGTGGGGAGAGATCCACACATTTTACTTTGGGTTTTCCAAAGTTTCTGACAGAGCTCTTTGCAGATCTTAAATCATCTCACATCTTCCAGTGATCATAATTCACATTGGACTGTGATCTTACATTGAAAAGGAAAGTGATGATTGACTGTGCAGGGTCAAGGGAATTCCAAGAATTCTGATTTCCCCACTTTCACTATTTTTTCATCCCAGTCTGCCTGCAAATTATTGTTTCAATAACATTGTTATTGACAGGCTCCAATTTTACACTGAGTTTTTTTTTTCTTTTTTACATATTTCCCATCATCATTCAATTCCCATGTATTTATGGCCATGATTTAACCTTCTGACTTTTTGTTTTTTCTCTGCAGATACGAAGACACATGCTCTGCAGGACAACTAACCCAAATAAGATACATTTCTAAACTTGCCATTGTTCTCTAGCAGTTTAAGTGAAAAAAATACTCAAGCTTTACCAGAAAGTCTTTGTCCCAGGCCACAGAATTAGAAGGAGCAGCGTGTAGCCAAAGATTGCTATGCTGAAAACAGGGCATGGAAAAATTGCACAACAGGCAGGACCTGGGGATCTGTCTCACGTGACRCCAACCTGAGATCCTGCTCAGGCAATGTCCACATCTATTAAATCTGTTTACTAAACTGTCTCATTATCTAGTTTGTGTCAGGATTTCTTTAGGGTGTGGTGCAGTTGGACAGATGGGCTTCAGAACCCTTCCTGGAGGCATGGAACAGGCAGTATCGGACAGATGGGCTCCAAGACGTTACCGTAAGGCCTCMAACACATGGGAAGAGAAAGGGGAAGGGAGGGGAAAAAAAACAGGCAGAGAAGCCAGTGTGAGATGTGGGGAACTTGCAGAGGCTCTACGCTCCCCTCGTCTCACAGTGAAACAAGGACAGCTCTCCAAGAGGCTCAACAGCTGCAAATACCTGTTTGGTTTTWAATATCATTACTACTCGCAGATGTGCTGGAGGGGAGTTTGTGCAGCAAAGTGCCTCAATGTTTTTTTAATAAGTGTTTTTAGCAATGAACACATGCTTTTTCTTAAAACCAATATGAAAGCTTATTTAAAGTGCAAAGGAGTTTAAGTAAGAAATGACTGACATTCTTTTAAGTATATATATATTTTAACCTCACAGATTAAGCTTTCCAACCTCTTTTTCCAAAGAAAAACACAAGACAGCAAAATAACTTTTTTGGCCAGTACTGTATTAACKAAACAGTCCCCTGAGATTAACAACAAACAAATATTGAAGCAGACTTCCTCAGGAGGTGATTACACAAACAAATTCTCTTTTTAAAGTTCATGAAACCAATCTTGAGAAAGGTCAAGCAACGATCAACAATGTGATCCCAGAGTCCTAAGGATTCCTGTAAGTAAATATGATGCCTGGYTTTAGGAACCTTGATATTTAAAGGGAATTATGTGAGGAATTACTTCAGAGTGGAAAAACACCAAAATCCTGTCTGTTGTGAATAATGTGGAACAGCCCCAGGGATTTTGGAGACTGTGAAGCTGCTGAAAGCAGGGGTAAGGTGGTACCTTCCTGGGGTCCTGGTGCTCATCYGTACACAGGGATGAGAGGCACAAGTGTGCTGAATCCAGCTGTTTCATACCACAGCAGGATTTCCAGGCATTCTGGGGATTCTCTGTGACTGTTTATGTTGGGTTCAAACGCTTGTGTGTCACAAAAAGTGTCCTACTAATGCCCACAGACACCAGGCACTGCCTGAGCACTAGGGCACATCCTGCCCTGAGGAATTGCTGTCTCATAAAGCAACCCCACAGGAAGTAGGGAGGACTTTTACAGATATCAGATAAAATCTCTGTGACACCAGGAGTGAGGTGCAGATTGCAGCWTTGGTAATGTGTTGCTATTAAAGGAATGGGTAATTATTTCCAGCGGATAACCATCGTGCTTCACATGGGTTCTGGGCATCCAAACTGCAGATATCCAGATAGCCACGGGGCGTTGGGTTGGACAGCAAGTTTGTAGTGACACTCTAAGTCCTTCTCCACACTTTTTTCCCTATCAAGAGCAGAAATAAACCCCAGGCACCCCAAAGATCAGCTGTCCACTCACCCACTCTCAGGACACCCCCCAGCACCAYGACACAGGCTGCGCTCAGGACGTTGCTGGAGTTGCTGGGGAACTCGAGGGTGCCCAGGACGTAGAGTCCTCTCAGAGGGGGAAGAGCCACATCCACCAGGATGGTCCTGTCTGAGAAACAAAGCAGAGGGTTGTTCAGGTCAATGGCAGGCTGCCAACACACAAAAGTGTGGTGTGGTGGTGAAGAYTGTCAGCTCGGCTKGAGTTTTGYTTTAATTCAGATTGGTTTTCATASAATCAYAGAATGGCCTGMGTTGAAAGGAACCTTAWATATCATCTCATTTTAACCCTCCAGCCATGGGCAGGGACAATTTTGACTACCCCAGGCTGCTCCAAGCCCCGTCCAACCTGGCCTTGRACACTTCCAGGGATCCAGAGGCAGCCACASCTTCTCTGGGCACCCYGTGCCAGGGCYTCCCCACYSTCACAGGGAAGAATTTCTTCCCARTATCCAAYCTAAACCTACTTTMTTTTCATTTGAAGCCATTCCCCTCRTCCTGTCACTCCAGGCMTTTRTAAATTGTTTCTCTCCATCTTTCCCATTTTTGCCTCATGGCATTGAAGAGGGCAAGAGAGTTCTCTTGAAGAAAAAAAGAACCACAGAATTCCTCATGCCTGGAAGYGTCTAARGACAGSCTGGACAGGGCTTGGAGCAACCTGGTCTAGTGGAAGMTGTCCMTGCCRGTGACAGGGGRTWGGAACAAGATGAGCTTTAAGGTCCTTTCAAACACAAAYCATTCTGGRATTCTAGGATTGATGGAARTGAAAGAAATCCAACAGGATCAGCCGATGTTTCATAGTGCAAATGGCCTGCAAGTCCCCAGCTTGTCAACAGCAGTTATCAGGCTGACAAAGTGCAGCCACACACCATGAACTACCTCCACTGACTGCCTGACACTGCTTTTCCCTCTTGGCAGCTTGGCTTTGCTCTCTCAGGRTTTGTGTGTGAAAACCCATCTCTTCCTCACCATCCAAGAGGAAAGCTTTGCTTGCACCAGCACAACCTGCAGGAAGCCAGAGCTCACAGAACCACAGAATTGTTGAGGTTGGAAAAGACCTCTGAGATCATTGCCACGTCCACCATAAGTTCTTCCATTCTGTATTCATATCCCACTCCAAAAATCAGCTAACAATGACCAGGGGAAGYACCATTCCCTCGGGTTCTTAAGGAGAAAGCAAGGAGGATATTTTTGAGTGGGGATTGTTGTGGGTCGAGCCCAGTCACTGCTGCTTCCTAAAGCTGTGGGTCTGCAGCCTGGAAACATTTAAAATGCCCCTTAAATGCTCCAAGTAGGACAGAGCAAGGATGCAAATGGTGGATCATTTAGAGGCAGCTGCACAGAGGTGAATCCCACCCTCAGGGCCCATCTAATGCTCCTGGATGCCACTGAGAGCTTCTCAGTTGATTGCACTGGAAAACAGCTCAGGCCCTGAAATCGTGGTTTTCATCCCTTTTCATTATTGACAAGAGTAACAGTTTCCAGGTATGGTGCATCTCTAAGCCAGTGGGTGATCCTGGAAGAAGAAAAAGCAGGGTATTTCCTTAAGAAGGAGATCAATAATATGATCTAATCATGACTTACATAGAAATAGATTGAAAAAAAAAAAATAAAAAAATTCTTCAGCATAATGACAGCCCTGCCCAGCCTTGCCAGAGATTTTCTGTGACTTTCATTGTTCTCATGTGCATTTATTGCAAGRCACAGATTTACAAAACTGCAGAGATTAATGAACACACACATTTTTCCAGTGGATTTTGACAGAGTGGTGAATATGGGACACTTGAAACTGGTTTTGTGTGGAATATAAGTGCCATGAAGTGTCTTGGGAAGTGGTTCAGTTACTCAACAGTTTCACTTCTACCTGTGGACCCTGRCAACTGCTTTGGATGAGAACACCAATGTGCACCACACAATGGGGAGCACAGCGAAAGCCCTTTCCCAAAAATCATGTAAAAAAAAATGAGTCAAACTACTTAGCACAAAGGTTTGAGAAYGTTTCCAAGCCCTGTTTGCAGGAAACATAATCAATATGATTCTGTGAAAACCTACCTGTAGTAAATTTAGAAGTRGACTGAAAGAAAATRTAAGTAGGCTATCATTATTAAAAAWTCCTATTTTTTTGCCTCCCTGGCTTTGCAACCTTGAAGTTTCACGACCTCCAGGGAAAGGAAATTTCTATTTCAGGTTCTGTTTTCAAGTCTGAGGTCCTGACTCTGCTTACATATTTGTTTGTCTCCTTCATACACWTTCCTACTTTATCCCTATGACTCAATTATTCCACTCTTCCTTTTCCCCCATCTTTTTATTCTTTCTCTCTGGGCACAAGCACCCTGAAAGCCCAGGACATCTCTTCTTAAGGACTGAATCAAGTGCAGAAGCAGGTCATGGTTAATCTGAATCCCTCACCCCAAAACAGATTCCCTGAATCCTTAGGCTGAAACACCTTTCAAGCATGCARAATTTTCACAGCATTCAGATTCAGTCTTTTGGGAGCAAGTGCAATTTTTTTCCCCCCTAAATCTCATGCTGTTTGTACTTAACATGTTTTTACAGGCATGAAGAGACTCCTGTCCATAATCTATTTACAGGACAGGTACAGTCCCGTGCCCTGCAGAGCTGTCAAGGAAAGGATGAGGATGTGTGGATATGAAACAGAGAGAATAAAGGGGGAGATGTTGTTAAAAATGGCATCTCTCAGACAGAAAGGGAATCTAGTTTGTGAAATCACAGCTCAAGAATGTGGCAAAAAGCTGCAGTTGACAAAGGCCATAAGTATATTCATCAAACACTGGCTGAAACATTTTTACAAGGAAAAGCAGCAGYGCTCCCAGGCATGCCATTTATATGTCACATTTCAGTCTAGAACAGAGGTTTTTGCTGAGCTGCACATCTTTCTAAAAAAAGGGTTTTATAAAGGAAATGCTGACTGCTCTGTAACTGTGGCATCATGTGTGTGAGCCTTGAAACACAGGAGTGAGAAATTCCCCCACCCAGAGATATCTCTGCAAACCTAGAGTTTCTTCAGATTAAAAGGACAACACTCTGGTGTGTGATGCTTGGGGTGTGAAGTCCTCAGAGKGTGAAATGTTGCTCTGTAGAAACAACAGAATACTCCTTTGAGGGGAAAAAAAGTCTTTCCACACTTGAGGAGGAAAGCAAACAGATTGAAAGGCAACTTCCTTACAGAATGCACTCATTTACCTTGTGGAGGGAATTGATGACTAAGCGGTTAAAATAATAAACTTTAGGTCACCARGCTCAAGGGATTTACCTTCAGAGAAAGGCAAACTGGAGCTGTTCTCCCCCCATGAAAATATTCATTCAATGGCAAGAAACCACTTTCAGCAAACTGTAGTTTGAGCCTGAAAGCAGGGCAATATTTCATTGTACACACACTTTCTTCTGACAAAAATCTCACAGGTATGCCAGAGTCTTAATGTTCAGATGTACAATACTGAGAAGTCACTAATGACTCCAGCAATGACAAGAAATGCCTTTGATCAGCCACATTGCTGTATAAAACACCATAGCATGCCATTGAATGGAAATCAGGCACAACAGAGGAGCTATTATATGGGATACAGTGCTCCAGCATTCATCTCTTCAAACAGAAAAACTTCAAAGAAAATCAAAATCAGAAAATGAAGAACAGAGTGAATTCCAACACTGGAGGAAAAAAAAAAAAAAAAAAAAAAAAAAAAAAAAAAAAAAAAAAAAAAAAAAAAAAAAGAATATTAAAAAAAAGGAAGATAGAAATTGCCAGAGGCTACATGATATCATATCAATACCCTTCAAAACAGCATTCCTTTGCTTGGAATTATAACACATTCTCCTTCCACCCAGAGCACGCTGCATCAGGAGTRTGTCACACTGAAAACCATGAACCAMAGCCCTGAAAATCCCAGGGCTTTGGGAAGCTAACAACACTGCTGGCTGCTGGAATGGCATGACTAAACTCCTTCGGCTTGTTTTCCAGGGTGGTGTGGCTGCTGGAGCCTGATGCATGTGAGAGGTCCTTGTGGGATGGCTGTGGCTCTGGAGGATGAACCTCCAGGGGTAAAAGCACAAGTTGTGGCAGCCTGAGCTGATTTCCAGATGAGATATCCACTGGGGAGCCAGACTCTGAGGGGAATTGTAACAACACACCCGCACCAAAAGTCACTTTAACATGAGGAAGCCACCTCTGTAGCAAGTGAGATTCATCCTTGTACTAGGATGTAAGTCTGTGAAATCAAAAAGGGCAAAAAAAAAAGGGAAGAACTTAGCGCACAACCCCAATTTCCAAGCTTGCCCAATCTCTAGGGGTCAAGTAGACACCGAGCAAGAAGAAAAAAATCTGGTTCCCARTTTTGGAATGGTTCTCTATTTTGCTAATAGAGGTATTTTCTATCTTTTCAAACCTTCCTGAGTCGAGTCCATGAGGCGACCCTAATGATGCAATTTTGCTTGTTTTGTTAAATAAACAAATTGACAGCTTCAATTGTTAAATTTAGGCAGTGCCCCAGTTCTCCACTGAACTCTTGGAATCCACTTTCACTCAAAGATTTCAATAGTGCCCAAAGTCTTTCARTGTTCTTCTTCACACTAAAAATGARCACTGAACATCAATTATTTGCTTTTATGACTCTAAAATTGCTCTTTGGGGGCTGAAAGMACCAAGCCAGTCATGGACAGCACACCAGAAGCAGGCTCATGTCTTGGCTTTCAACCAAAAATCATTATAGGTGGCTCCAAGAAGAGAATTTTAAGTAGAAATTTGCAGAAGAAAGCAAAGAGTAAGACAAGGCTACATCTTGCCAGGAGTGAATCWCAAAATTTATTTTGGTATGCACAGCAGCACAAAATTTGGGTTGTTTGTAGAATATTTCTTCTCATATAACAAACTCTCTCACTTTTTTTAAGCCATCTGGTGTTATTCTGAGTTTAGCAGGGCATGCACAAGCCAGTGGAAATGGGAAGGGAAACATCCATAAAATGCTACAATTCAACATGCATTTTAGAATTGTTGATTTCATTTTAGATTTTGGATCCAAGCAAGGCGCTGACTTCCTTTAAAGTGGAAGCTCAAACATTTGTGGCAGCAAAGCAAAGCAGGGGAAATGGACAGAAAATTTATCGTGCCTAACTTAATTTTAAATGCATTTATTTGAGCAACRAATCCAGTTCCCTTATCATCCTGGTGAGGACCATGACTCCAATTTAAGACCCTGTACTCTGTTGACTCCAATGCCTGTGAGTGTCTCAACACCTCTGCATCAGCAGACATGAAGAGGAAGAGCAAAAATAAAATAGAGAGGAGATGATCAGAAAAGGCAGACATGCAAGAAAGTAGATTGTATGATAGACAGCTTGTGTTTGTATTCGTGTTTGTGTTCTCAGGATAAAAGTGAAAGACAATTCCAGAAAGGCACAAGAGAGGAGAAGAGTTTCTGCACATCAGCCAACACACACATTCACTCTGGTGATGGGAGTGAAGAAAGTTTTCATAGAGCCACATAAACATAGAATAACTGAGTCAGAAGGGACCCACTTGGATMAGCAAGTSCAGCTCCTGGCCCTGCACAGAAMAACCCCAACAACCCCACCCTGTGCCTGAGAGTGTTATCCAAACACTTCTGGAGCTCTGGCAGCCCTGGGACCATGTTCATTCCCTGGGGAGCCTGTTCAGTGTCCAACCACCCTACGGGGAAAGAACCTTCTCCTAATATACAAATCAAACTCCAAAAACCAGCTTCATTTCTATTGCTGGTAGGAAGAAGACTCACACAGTGTGCATCTCCACTGGTCCTAGCAGGCAGGGCACTTGCATTTATCATTTACTCTTTCCTTGGCATCCTTTCCTTGCTGTGGTGTTGCTCAGTAAAGCCCCTCTAAAGAGCAAAGATAGATTTATTGTACACTGTGGAAAACCCTGCACTGAGCAGATGAACACGGTGACTTAGAGCTGGGAACTCCAAGGGGTTCATCCTGCTGCTCAATTCTGCTTTGGGACAAAATTTATTGTCCTGGCTCCCGGATTCCATTGTTTCCCATGGTAAATCACAGATTAATTAAACAGCCCAATCCTTATGGCAGAGAGGATCCCTGTTCCACGCCCACAGCACTGTGCAGACACGCTCCAGTTAGGCTGACCAAGCCAGCTTTGCTCTGAATTCATGAAACATTGCTTTTGCTCCCAAAAGCTGCTCAGTCATGTGGCCTGAGCTAATGAGCTTCATCTCTCTGGAGAGCTAATTAGTTCTGGAGCAGCGCTGTGCTAATGCAGCAGTTTGTCTCCAGTCCTAGAACCAGATTGGTTGGGCTGGGCTGGGGCAGCAGAATGAAATGCTCCAGGAATAGTTTAGTCACGAAGGACTCTGCAGAATGTGACAAAGGCCATGGTCAGTGTCACATGGCAGCTAAAATGAGTATTTTATCGGGATGATTATGGAATCATGGATAGGTTGGAAAAGACCTTTTCAAAAGATCAAAAAGATCATTGAGTCCTATGCCATGGCCAATGCCAGGATTAACCAACGTCCCCAGATGCCACATCTACGTGCCTTCTAAATCCCTTCAGGAATGGTGAATCCACCACTGCCCTGGGCAGCTGTGCAGTGTAAATATTGTTCCCAATATCCAATCTAAACCTCCCCAGATGCAATTTCATCTGTTTCTTCTTGTCCTGTTACTTGTTCCTTAGGAAAAGAGACCAAAAATACTCCTGGATACAGCCTTCTCTCAGGTTGTTGTCCAGAGAGATAGGAGCTCCTTTTCTCCAGCTCCCCCGCCCCTCCTCCTCATCACACTTGTGACCCAGACCCCTCCCCAGCATCATTGCCCTTCTCTGGACATGCTCCAGCCCCTCACYTTTGCAGGAAACTCAGAGGAGTTTTATTCATCATTCATCACAAGCTCTTCCTTCAGCTTGCGCTCTCTTGATCTGACCTAAACAACAGAACTCCAAACTCTCAGGCAAACCTATTTATTTATTTATTCATTTGTTGTTCTCTGCTTCGGTGCAAATCGTGATTTACCTCTGTGCCTCTTCATATCTTCATCTGACACATGATGTTGCAAACTGGAATGTTCTGATCTTTTGATAATCTTGGGCTGATATTGGTGAACCGGTTATCACAGAAACATAAGAATCATTAAGGTTGGAAAAGACCTCCAAGATCATTCAGTCCAACCTGYGACTTGTCCTCACCTTGTCACCAGCCCAGAGCACTGAGTGCCACGTCCAGTCCTTTCTTGGACACCTCCAGGGATGGGGAYCCMAAYAYCTCCCTGGGCAGCCCCTTCCAATGCCTGGCAACTCTTTCCACGAGCAAATTCTCCCTGAAATCCAACCTTATCTGCTCTTCAGGTCAATGTAAATTCCCCCCAAAAGTGAAGAAAAGCAGTATTTTTTTAAAGTACAGGGTTGGGGATTTTTCACATTTGTCAGAAAACTGAATATTGAACTAAATATATAYTGAAGGTGGATTAGAATTCTTAATGTGATCTGCAATTTAGATATATATATAATTTTATTTTTCCTTTAGTGACACAGGTCAGAGAAGCCCTAACCATGACTAAGGCTCCATGCCCAAATACCAAACCAAACACTTCCTTCCATATAAGCCATAAGACAAAATCAGGTGGAAGAGGAACAGACATGGAGCAGTGTTTTTCCACATTTCCAYATTCCACATTTCCAGAAGTGGAGCTGTGGTAGGTAGAGAGACTTAACTGGTTTCAAATGAGAAGGAAACRGCATCAAGTTCTAGAATATTTCAGGTTCGTGTCAAACAAAATTTATAGGATCATTCAATAATTATACCTGGAGAAAACCTCAGGGCCTCATCTAGTCCAACTTCTTGATCAAAGGAGGGTCGGCTCTTACGTAAAATGTTTATCACAAGGTTTTTTTTCCAGATTTCATTGCAAATTCCCTAATTTATTTACTAAAATCCATTTTTCATGCAGTAACATTTTAAGATGAGCTGGGATTTCAACTCAAGTTGAAATACAAGTTGAAATACAATAAGAGAAAATGTCTAGGAGGTATCCACGGCAAATGGCTTCAGAGATTACAATTGGTAAGTGGGAATTGCAACAGGAAAATAAAATGGAAAGTGGTGCAAATGCAGAAATGTAAAACATGATCCTTGCACAAAGCACAGAGAGAGGTGGGTCAAGAGATGAGCTCTTTTGAGGTGTGGTTCTGGGTCTTAGAAATTCTCTCTGAAAATAAGAACCTTGCACAAACTCCAGCCTGAAAGTCAGTATAAATAAGTGCTTGTGTCCGTGTGTGTGTGTGAAAATGGAAAAGAATTACCATTTTCTTCCAAAAACTACATTTTTGTACTGCTGTCTGTGTGACAAGGAACAAATGTGGGGTCCTGCACATGCTGGAGTGGCCACCAGAGCCATGGAGCCCTTGTTGGGACACAAATTAAATCCCAACGTAGGTAGAGCCCCACACCTCCACAGGAATTCACGTACTTGGCAAGATGATGACATCTTCTCCAGGGCCAGGGATGCTCCCATTGGATCCACCCCAGCCTTTTCCCACACCATTCCACGTCTCTGGGTGTGACCATTTCAAGACAGCACCAGAAGGAACTACGAAACAGGACACACAAAGACAGAATTATCATTTTCTGTAGCTGGAATAATTGCCATTTCTTTGATAGTCAAGCATCTGTGACATTAGCATCCTCCTCTTGTCACTGATGAAGCAACACTAACTGCTCTTTGTTATTTTCCATGCTTAAAGAAAACTGCTTGATTGAATTCCCTGGGTATAGGAATTTCCATACTTTAGGAAAGTATGAAAGTTTTTTTTTTGGTTTTTTTTTTTTTTGTTTTTTTTTTTTTTTTTTAATGAGTGATCAACTCTTACAAGCTTCTTAACACCTAGAAAAGCAGAAGTCTTCCCATTCCAAGGGATGACCAAGACCTATTGGGGAAAAGCAGCTTGACCAAGACTCATGGAAACTCCTGCTCTGTCTCCAAAATTTTCTTTTTCAGCTCAATCCAAAAGAAAACCCCTGAGCCTTGGCATCAGGAAAAGATTGGGACAAACTGAGTTCACAAAATGTAGGTGCTTGACTTGCACTTGCATTTTAGAGAGCTAATAAGCCAGGCTCTGTAAATTAATTGCCCCAAAGTTTGCTCTGCCACAGGAGAGGAAGGGGAAATCTTGCACACTGAGCTTAGTAAATCCTAGACTAACGCAGGCAGGGCCTCCCTCTGGAGGCCTCCACAAGCACCTACTGCTGTCTTTCCACTCTAAAAGAAATTCTGACTTTTTTTTCCTGAGGAGGACTTACTTGGGGATTGAAAACACAGGAGCAAGCTCATGCTTAGGTTTTGTGGGCTAGACCCAGCTGAGTAATGTTGTGGGGTGGAAAAACCCATCCATTGTCTGTACAGGGAAATACAGAAATTAAACCCATATCGAGTTCCTTAAGTCTGGGTCTGTCTTTCCAATCACTTGGGGTTTTTTGGGGGTAGAAATAACCTGACAAAATATCTCTAACCCCCTTTTCCACATAATTGATTATTTTTGTTAATACACAACATAACAAGGTAGTTAATACCAAAATATATCAAAATTTGGAGGCCTCCCTTGTCTCTGGTGTATTTTTCTGTCTGGTTCAACATGAAACTGGGCAGCAATATCAGACTATGGAGCACTAAAATACTCTGTAGTCTTACATTCTCCATGACCTTTTTGATCTGCTGTGGTATTTCCCAGTAAAAATTTATAGCCTTTTATACTGTGGAATCACACATTTATCTTGAACTATGGTAGGTATGGCTMGATTAAATGTTTAGATGAATACCAAGAGCCTCTGTTGGGTTGATAGATGTACAAAAATATTGGAGTGAAAAACAGCGATTTATTCGTTAAAAAGCCATAAGAAAGAAATTGTGTGACTCCCAGACCAAGACCTTCTGACACAGGCTGTCACATACCTGGGGTAGGTAAAGCCACTCTTTTCTTCTCTTTCAGTGTGACCTGGATTAAGTCAGCTCCTGTGACTGAACAGAGAATTTTAGGGAGTTACAGCAAGGCCTTTCAAAGTAAAGCACAGAAAAAATTAGTAAATCAATTGCTCTACATGAATTCCTGATAACATTATACATTTCTTACAAAAACTTTTTTAAGAGCAACTATGCATGTTTTCTAAACACTTTTTGTCTTTTTTTTTTTTTTTTTTTTTTTTTTTTTGGTGCTTTGAGAAAGGATTAAACAAACACATTTTAATTTACAGATACGGAAGGTCTCAAGACAACTCATTAGAAACAGCTAAATAGAAAACATTCAACAATCAGAAATTCTAGGCTGGAACTCGAATCTCATTTATCCCACTATAAATCCACAGCAGTTCCACTCACACAAGCGATATCACACCATTGAATGCATAATGTATTAACTGGCTCAAACAGCGAATTACAGCTTTTGTTTTGTAGTTGGGTTTTGATTTTTTTTTTTCTGCCCCCAAAATCTGGTATCTGAAAGAGATGCTTTAATTAGTCAGACTTTATAGACTGGAGACAGGGACCCTGTGTTCTCTGCTGTGAAAAAGGGTCAGCAGCAATTATCACAGTGGTAACCTTTGTGCCCGTGTATTGTCAGCAGGAGAAGGGCCAGGATAATGAAAATCAAAGAGGAGCAGGAGAAAGCTGCTTCAGACCCAGCTAAAATCCCACCTCCTCTTCATCTCCAGTGGCATATAAAGGCACTTCCTTTCAGTCACCAGACTGGAACAACCGTAGGTTAAAATAGAAACACTCTGACAAACAAATAAATCTCCTGTCCTCTGCCCAGCCCCTTATGGTGACCCTAAAGTGTTGTTGGAAGATTTTTTTGGGGGGTTAGAAGGATTGCATCAATGAAGCCATTGTCAGGACTTTCCCCAGTTCCAGAACACGCCTGGAACTTTCCTATGTGTGCATCAGCCCACCGATGGGATTTCATGCCATATTGTAATTTACTTATTTTATCTTTAAACAAGTCTCTGTACTTTTAAATTGCCAAACCCATCCTTCCCTACCTCCCTCCTTTTCTCCCAGTGCAACTGAGCAAATTTAAAATAACTGAGGTTCATTAATTTTAAGTGTTCAATAAATTAGTATGAATAATCAAAAAACTTGATTCTTTCTGATAATTACTATTTGATGTCAGTTGAAAGCACTCGATTGAGTTAGCAGCATATGCTCCTATGCCAAATGAGGCTTCCATAATTAAATAGGAACTGATTCCATGAGGTTTTCCTCATGTCTGATTAATTAGTAATCAGGTGCCTCAGCCCTGTTCTTCAGTGACACCTTCCCTCCCGATGGTGGCTGGGATCTGATCCATACATCAGCTGAGTCAATCTGCCCCAAACCAGCACACAGAGCTCACTGAACAGCATCATGCCTTGAGTGGCCACAAGGTGAACATTTGAGGGGAAAAAAATGACATAAAACTGCTAATTTAAACTTCCTGACAYGGCTCTTGTGGCTTTCAGACAATACATCTGTGCGTATTTTTATGGTTGTGGTGGTTTTCCTTCTCACACACACAGGGCAAACCAGATGCCAAAGCTGATACATCAAACTCAGGAAAAACAAGGCCCTGACACTATCCGTTTTTGGCTAAATATATTTCATCATTTTTGCTGSGGTTTTTTTTTTGCTTACTTTTGCAGGCAGTAGAGTGAAATCTTCTAATTAAGGATGTTTATATTGTTCAGAGAAAAGCTGTTGTAATTAAATCGTGAAGGGACATAAAACGTGATCAATATGGAACATAGACCTCATAAAGRGGTTCAATCCCCTTACACAGTGAAGAAAGGAACCATTAAGACTTAATTTAGTACAAAGATTTATCATTGCCCTGTCCAGAGTCACGACAAAGATAAAAGTCTCCTGTATTTGAAGTGCCACCCCACCACAGAGCATGAAAATTAAAACCATTATGAGTCATTTCTACCCTCCCCAAAAGTGCAGGAATCAAGAACAGAATTCTCCACAAAATTCTGCACATTCTTTTAACTTGCACAATTATTTATATAGATGGGGTGTAAAGTGCAACAGTGGAGGATCAGAGGTGTTTTGCTGCCTTTTCCCACAARCACTCCCAAAAACTGATCAAAAAAGATAAAGGCCTTGGGATTAATCAAGGCTACAGGRACATAGTCCTTCTGGTGGTTTTGTTTGGCTGCTGAGCACGTTATCACTGGGTTTTCCAGGACAGGAAGAGATACAGGCACTGCAGATGAAGGACGTCATTAGTAAACATTGAATTAAGGTGACTCTCCGCAAAATGTAGTTATAAGGCTCCAGGGTTTAGTTGTATAAAACCTTTATAAGGCTCATCAATTTTCTGCCTTATTACAACTCCTCCTGGATGTTTGGGCTGTGAATCATAAATATAGGCCTTSTGGATGATACTCCTGGTAACTTTCTCCTGGTTCAGGGCTCCCTGAGTGAACATGAAGGAGGAGCAACTCAGTCTTTTATCAGCTTTGCAGTGACTCGGAATTTTGCCTGTGGATATTAGGAAGGGCTGAAACGAGGATAAATGGCTCCAATAGCCTGAGTTACAAATAACAAGCAGCTCCATGCTATTTAACATCAATTGGACTAACATCCATCACCGGGAAATCAAAACTTTTTAGACAGCGCAATCAACAACACAGTGAGACACACCTCTAGAAACCAGAGAACCTGGGAGAGGGCGTTTTGTCATCCTCTGTAAGGATCTGTTACAGGAGATACCCAGAAATATGATATCGTGGGGGCACTGAAGTAAGGAGAAGAGGTGTAAAAAAMCAATTTATATACATATAAATAGATACAATTATATATATATATATATGTATATATATAGCTATATTTGGGTTGATGGACACAGATTCTTGCTTACAGCAGATTGACATTTGCATGAAATTCCTCCAGCAGATATCACATAGTCAAAAAATCAACCCTGGCAGGATTAAAAGGGCATTTTATCACCTTATGTCTGTAAYTGCTACTCTCTCTGGTTTCTCTGCTTCCATGCCAGAAGGATAGGAGCTCTCCACCAGGAGAAGGTTGTTTTACATCTCTGTGTCTCTTACAAAAATTGAGCAACTGAAGGAACTGGAAAAACAGAGTCCTGGGGGGAATCCTACTGCTCTCTACAACTCCCTGGAATGAGGTTGTAGCCAGGTGGGAGTTGGTCTCTTCTCCCAGGTAATTAGCAACAGGRCAAGAGGAARTGGYCTCAAGCTGCACCAGGYRGGGTTCAGGTTGGACATCAGAGGAATTTCTTCATGGAAATGGTGGTTAAGCATTGCTACAGCCTGCCCAGGGAGTTGGTAGAGTCACCACCCCTGGAATTGTTAAAAACATCCTGAATGTGGCACTCGGTGCTCTGGTCTGGGTGATGAGGTGGGGATCGGTCACAGGCTGGACTCGGTGACCTTGAAGGTCTTTTTCAACCTAAATCATTTTATGATTCTGTAATTACAAGGGCCACCTCTTTGCTAAGGACTGGTTTTCATTTCATTTCATTTCATGGAGGCCMCTGAGTAGCCCACATCTGGTCAACTGGCCCTCTGAAACAACTGATAATGGGTGAGTTTTATCTGACTGGAAGAAAAGACTCATCCCTGGACAAGCAGACCTCTGTAAAGAATTAACTCCATTCTTTGTGTCTTTCACCTAGGATTCTCCTTTACCCCCAAGCAATAGGGCTGCAGAAAATATCTGTGTTTATTTATTTTCTGTATTTCAATATTAGAAACAAACATTCTTAAGAGTCTGTTTTTCCTCCTATACAAAGCAATTACAGAAACCCACAGAGCCTAATGGAAGTGAGATCACTCTTTAGGAATCTAAAAAAGACAGTAAGTATAATCAAATTATTTTTTAAAGAACTATGGAAATTGTAAACCTGCTTCTGACACAGCAGTAATTTGAGGCTGAGCCTCAGGCCCTCTTAACAACTCACACATGAGTAGCCTGAGCAAAGACAGCAGGATGACCCGTCTCCATAAAAGTTGTGTCTACTGAAAAATGTATTTGGGATAAATAAAAAGTTTGATAATCCTCTCCATGATGTTTTCAATAATGTTCCTCTCCACCACTTCAATTCTTCAATTTTAGGGGGAGAAAAAAAAAAAAGAAAGAAAGAGAAATCTGGAGTTTAAAGAAACCAACACTTCATTTAATTCCAAAAGAAAATGGTTCAAACATTTCAAAAAATGAACAGAAAGGAAACATCTCTCTGGTTTTTAGCCAGTTCCAGTATTGCCCAGAGACCTTAACCAAGGAGCAGTACCATACTGTGGCACCATATGCTGAAATTTGTAACAGACTTAAAAAGCTCATAATGTTATTATTGTAATTTACAAAGGACATTTCTCCCAAAAATAACCCAGATGTCCCAGTGGGATGTTTCTTTCCACCACCCTTGTTACAATAAGTGTGGGTTTTTTTTTTTTTTTTTTTTATTCATCATGGTCATATCCTGTTTCACTCTCCTGAAATGTGGTTGAGCCACAGGCCATGAGTGTCTCAGTCACACCACAACTTTCGGTCCACAATGACCTTTGAGGATCACTTCTCTTAAGGCTTAGGGAGCCCCAGAGAAAATCAGGGTGATGCTATGAATCATGTCAAAGCAAAGTTGATGATGTGGAAAGGACTCGCACAGGATGCTTCAAGCTCCCTAACTCTCCCCTTCATCCAGGATCCAGCAGGGATTGAGATTATCTGTCCTTCAATGCAGAGTCCTTTAAAATTATCTGAAAAGGTGATTTTCAAAGGGGATTAGAAGCTGGTTTACAGTTTCATRTATGTAGGTAGCATTGAGCACCTTTGTTAATAGGATCATTGCCCACTTAACAGAAACATTCTCCATTACAATTATTTCTCCCCATTCAGCACCCCCTGCATTCTCCTTCTCCAAAGCCTAATTTACAAAACCCCAACCATCAGCRCAACTTAACTCCTTTAATCCCCTCCATACGGTCCATTTTCTTGCCTTTTGTGTCGGACCTTTTTTTTCTCCCCCAAAGATAAACAAACACTTGCATGACGCCAGGCAATTTAGGATGGAAGAGGGCACGGAGAAAGCCTGAGCCGTATGCAAACTTCTGGCCAAGGTGGCTTCATTCAGCTGCCTGCTTCGTTTGAATAACAATACCTCCTCAGTCACGGGGTTTTTCCTYCCCTTCTCCCCCTTTTCTCCCCCATGCAGGCCTGAGTAAAAGGCTGTGTGAATTCAGGAGCCCGCTTGTGAATGAGCCGGCATCTGATCCGTATTTACCGGCGTTAATTTTGGATGTAATGCACCCCTGCCACTTCCCCACAGTTTGYCCTAAAAGGCTTTCTGCGGGGCACAAAAGCAGCGGGTCAAAAGTGAGTTGACCCCTGCCAGAATGTACAATTATTGCAAAGAGGTGGTACACCAGCAGCTGTCGAAACCCCACCGGAGCGCTTCCAAAAGTCGGAGGATGACTAATACGCCGGAGCTCTCCCCTCCGCCCCGCCAGAGCCRCCGACTTCGGGCAGGAAGAATTATGGCCCTCCCGAGCAGCTGCAATAATTGTCTTGCCATTGTCCCCCTGCCCTCCCTCCGCCACCCCCTACAAGTGCCCATTGTCGCCGAGGAGTCGAGTGATTATATGSTCGGGCTGATGCCGTTCGCGCCCAGCTGCCCGAGCGCTGACACGCGAACCCGGAGAGGGGGGACCCGCGTCTGCTAGACGGGACCGCGACATACCAGACCTTTTACATAAGTCAAACAGGAACAAATGACTCTTTATCAGCCCCTTCTCCCTTTGAAGTGGGGGCTGCTTATGGGCCCTTACAGCTTTTCCTCCTTAGCCCGAGCAAACATCCTCCTTTTGATATGCTACATGCTCATTATCTCTGCCCCATTTAATGATTTTTGATTGAAGGGTGGCAGCGCGGTTGCCGAGAGGGGAGTTAAAGAGGCTCCACGCAGTCAGGACAACAAGAAAAGGCTTTCCTTGTGCAGCAGCCTAAATTTGGAGTTTCTTAACAGTGTGTTCTTGTTCTTAGCAGCAGATAAGGGCTGAGCGTGAAATTCTTAATTAAGCAGTAAATAGAGAGTGGGGTGTCAGCAGATGCAGCCTGTAGCCATGGAGACCAAGTCTGATGAAGGAGGGAGCTAAGACTCCACGCCGGCCCCGGGCTTGGGCATGACTGACAGCTGAAGAATCCGACAAAGCTTGTAAACGGGATTAATTTGTTGGCTAATTATTTCATATAGTTAAATGTAAACTTTTTTTTTTTTAATGAAAAAAATAAACAAAACAACAGCTTGCAGAGTTAGCCAGGAAGATGTTCCGAAGGCCAGACCTTCAAGCCTCGTCCTCTCTGGGTCGGTGGGTGGACTGGTGGGGTTTTAAGGCCAGAAGGGACTATTGTGGCAGCTTTCTCTGACCTCCTGCAGAGCATGAATCTCGCCTCATGAGGTTTCTAATAGCCTCTCGCAGAGCTGGAGCATATTTCCCTGAAAAGGCGGCCAAGCATCATCTAAGGACCCTGAGTGATGGAAAGTCCACCACATGCCATAAGTCTGCTCTGCTGGCTAATTGTTGTCACCCTCCCAGCCTGCACGGTGGAGATCGGGAGAGAAATTAAATCCCACATTAAGGCCAGGAATCTGTTTGCTTTGTTTTAAACTTCTACCCTACACCAACAGCATAGAAATTAGTTACCAGGCACTGAATTATTGATCTCACTCCCATAAAAGTCCTCACAGAAAGTGTTCACAGCATGAATTATACATTTTAGGTGTTTTCACAAATTTGCCCTCGTGTACTTTGGATGATTGTTTCTTTCTCTGTWAAAATGAGGAACCACAATAAGCTCTTCATGTAATGAGAACCAAAATGAAAATAAGGTGAGAGAGGGGCAAGAAAGTGTCTGTGACTCAAGAGTGACATATGCTGGCCAGACCACTTTTGTCCCAGCCTTCCCAAGACTCTCACATCCTCTGTTTTCAACAGCAGAGGCCAAGATACAAATGCCATCCTGTGAGCTTTCCAATGCTGCTCTGAGAGTGAATTCAGGATAGGCACACTGAAAAGCAGGCAACTTTATGTTTGAAAGAACGAATTTACACTGTTAGTAAACTGAAATAATAAAACATTTTTCTTCTTTCAGTAGATACTTGACATGAACTTTGACACGGCTTAGACACAGTAGCTAAATTTATAGTAGCCAATCTATACCTGAACTATATCTAAAGAGGGCCAGGACACAGAACTAAGTCCAGGACTCCAGTGATCTACATGGTTATAATGCTGACCAAATTCCTGGTAAACTCCCAATGGTGACCAGGACAGTTTGGGATTTAGCACAGGAGAGGGATCTTTTCTAATTCAGCACTAGGGTGCATCCAGCCCATTCTGAGAGCTAAAATGTCAAACACAAGCTGTTCTGTGGCAATTGGCTGCAGGACAGARATGGATGCAGTAAATGTGATCCTCAGACTGAGGTTAAGGTTGTGGCTTCCCCATTTCTCCACAAATGTACACTGGCTGATTTTCACTGTCACCACACCAAGCTCAGTGGATGTGGCCTGCCCATTCCAGGTGTGTTTTCCTCTCCACTGTCCCTATGATTTTTCTAGTTGGTCATCCCTGAAGAGTTCCTACATCAGAAAGCCATTTCCATGCCATCTCATTAGKGCAAATCAAGGAAAATTCATTAAATTTAATAGACTAGAAGAGCAAAAATATTTCCTGTCATTGAGAAAATCATCCTCTTTACTTCTCTGTATGACAGTCATGAAGGATAAACTAATCTTCTCAAAGACACCAAAATATATTTGTGATTCCTGTTGTGCTATTAATAGAGGCAACAATCATTACCTTGCCCTTAACATGTAGAGCTTAGACATTTATAAAATTATTTGCTTGAGAATGGGAATTTTGGAAAATGTCTATTTTCCATGATCTCATGTACAAAGTCACGTACTCCAATGTGAAGGTCTATGATGTCTTTGGAAATCTCCAGTCCTAGGAAAAATTCTCTCCCAATAGTCCTATAGCCTTCAGTGGGCTCAGCCTGGCAAGATGACCATAATTTATTAATTAAACCTGTGATATAGGACCAGATGACAACAGAGGTTGTTAGTGGAAKTTAATGCCTTCACCTCTCAAAAAACCCAACTCAAATAMAAATKATGTCACATCACCCACCWTTTATGACACATTCTTTTTTTTGYTAGATAGAGTTTGSTACAGATAAATCAGTTAGAGATGGWCCTGATCACTTCTTTGGTCCTTTTGAAGGACCTCTCACTCATTGAAAGGACATTGAAAGGTGGCCTTGTGTAGATTTGGGGTTTAAATTGTAAAGACAGCTCTGCCAACATTCCTGATCAAAAATGTGCATTGTAAGCCCCACACTGCACTCACCCAAATAGGTGAACTTCCCCAGTTTGCCGTCAAAGTGCCAATCACAGCTCCTGTGTTGTTCATATGAAGGCAGCGATGGGAGTGGCTGTCCCCTCCTTGTCCCACAGGACACCACAGCCTCAAGATGGGCAGGAAGATCCTCGTGTTCCACCAGCAGGTAATTGCCAGCCTTGAAGTTGCTAAATGTCACTGAATACTGGAGAAGAAGGAACCAAAAGAAAAATGTCTGAGTGTGTAATTAGAGCTCCATGGAGYGCAGCATAAAGGGGTAAAGAAGATGGTGCTCCTCACAGGCAATGTGTGTTGAAAACATGAAAACTAAAGCAGAAGATGATGGTAAATGCAGACAAAATTAATTCCCCTCATCAACTTTTGAAAGGTGCAGAGGAGCAATGTCTTCTGAAAGCTGTGCTTCAACATGACTTAAGGTAGAAAAAATCMTSTTGGTTCCTAAGCACCACACTGAACTTTCACCTAAGACATCCAAAATCATCAAGTGACCAAGGCCAGGTTGGACAGGGCTTGGAGCAACCTGTCCAGTGGAAGGTGTCTCTGCCCATGGCAGGGGATGGAACTGGATGACCTTTAAGGTCCCTTCCAGCCCAAACCATTCTATGACCTCACTGCTCCAAGTTTTTGCTGAGAGCTTCAGGGACTTGGTCATCTTATCTAAATCTATAAATACAGAGATTTGCTCAGTGCACTTAACCCTTTTTTTCCCCTCCTCTCTGCTCTTCCAAAAAGATTAAAGGATGATTATCTCTTCCAGATATCATTCTGAAATTATAAAACCTTCTTGTATTACCTGGAGCAGTTTGCTGACCAAAGGGTTGTCAAATGTCAACGTGTAAGTCTCTTTATCCAAGAGAAGAACCATCCAGCCATACAGGTTTGATAAAGTATCAGGGACATAATTGACTGTGTTTGTCTTATTCCTACTGTCAGTCACAGTTAAATTATAGGCAATGTCCGGAGCCTCTTTTCTGAAGGGGAAAAAARGAAAGTAATTACATTTTTACAATGAACTCTGTCATTTTTCAACAAATACAGTTCTGTTTTTATTTGAATTACAGTAGCAATGCTGGATCTCCCTCAGAATGTGTCTGCATGTTTGTAATTCTCTACAAACACCATAATAAACAACCTTTTGCCTCAAGAGCTGTAAAAAGCAAAAGACAAAAAAAAGGGATGCAGTGTGGAGTAATAAAGGCACAGAGGAAAAAAAGCAGAGAAATGGCAACAGTCAGGATACCAACTTCTGCATTCCCAGAGTATTTCCTCATTTGCCAGACTCAGAGGCCTCAAGTTCAGCTTTTAGGATCTCCATGAAATTTGGTGGAGATTTCTGATTAGCCTCATCTCWGGTTGGATGGGGTTTTGAGGAATTTGGTCTAGCAGGAGGTGTCCCTGCTCATGGCAGGGAGCTGGAATGAGATGATCTTTAAGGTCCCTTCCACACCAAATCATTCTGTGATTCTGTGATTACTCTTTCCCATTTGATCAGTCAGAAGTTTCACTGAGCCTGAAAACACAAAAATCCTGTGTAACTCAAAGAGCTGCTCTTTGCCTGCAGTCAAAGCTGRGGCTGCTCCAGATTGATTACATCGTGCACAAAATGGGTAAACTTTTAGAACAGCAGTTCTTCTGAGCATCCAAATCAGAACAAAAACCCCTTTTTCACTTCACAAGACCTTGATACTCCTAATTTCTGTCCAGTCTAGTCAGAGAAAAAAAGAAACGGATCAGCAAGAATACTGAYATCATGAATGGGCATAAACCTTCTAGAGACTTCTCAGTTTGGGCATTTGAGTTGACACCAAGCTTAAAAATCCCCTCTTTTAAGCATAGCTTGAGCTGTTTTGGTTTTTTTCCTCAATATTTGAAGTATTACCCTACAACTGCATATATCTTTTTTAATTTTCTTCTTTTGATAAAACTTATGTAATTCTCAATTTGCCTCCATTTGCAAATTTTGGTTGGTTTGTTTGGTTTCTTTTCTCCTAGTGCTTTGGAAAAAATGCAAAATCACCAAAGCAGTCATCCTGGAGGTATTTTTCTTTTCTCTTTTAAAATCAGTTTCTCTTTTAAAATCAGTTTCTCTTTTAAAATCAGTCCTCTTTTAAAACCAGTTCAGGGATTTTTAAATTTTATTTTTATTTTTTTCTTATTCTAGTGTATGTCACTTCGGCAAAACGCTTTCTGGTTACACAGAAATGTTCAGCTGAGAAACAGCAATAGCAAAGTGAAGTGTGAATCAGCAAAGAATCACTCAACCAGAAGATATTGGCAGACCAATGAAACTGGAAGGAGTTTATAAGGCTTAAACAGCTTTTGTACCACTAATAAACCTCCTCTTATGGGCATTAACTGGACCAGGATATTAGGCTGCTAATTAAGCAAGTAAATGACAACAAGCACATTATTGCCACAGTTATCAGCACCTGCACAGGTATTCAGGAGAACATTTCTAGCAGCAGAGAAACATTAAGCTCTTCTACATATCAGAAAATGTCTTATTGAGTGGCAAAAATGCCCAATGCCACAGCAAGAGTGACTCAGGCCCATCCTATCTACAGCATAAATTCACATGGTTTTGCTCTTTATTCATGTTAATTTTCATCGCTGAAGGATTCTGATGAGCACAGACTGGGTCACTTTTATTGGGGGATTGTACCAGTTCTTCCAGAAGAAGTAGAGACAGARTAGAGAGCCAGGAAGGGACAATCCTGCTGGGATGGAGGTTTGACCTGTCAGAAAGTTAGGCAGCAATTCCAGCCATGTAGATCCAATAGCTTGTGAAAGGGAATGTGAATTCACTTACTGTGAATCCATTTATGTTGGAGAGCAATSTTGAGAAAATCCCAAATAAATACCTTAATCTGTACAGCGAACTTGCAGATGGCCACATATAGGTGAAATATATATTTTCCTGTGTATCTACTTATAATGGACAAGGTATTGAATCATAAAATCATTTAGGATGGAAAAGTCCTCTGAGATCACTGAGTCCAACCATTAACCCAGCAGTGAGAAGGCCACCACTCAACCATGTCCCCAAGTGCCACATTTGCATGTGTTTTAAATCCCTCAAGGCATGGTCACTCCACCACTGCCYCTTGAAGCCGATTTCACTGCCTGACCTCCTTTTCCATGAGGAAATTCTTCCTAATATTCAATCTAAACCTCTCCTGGTGCACCTTGAGGCCATGTACACTTGTCCTGTCCCTGTTCCCTGGGAGCAGAGTCCGACCCYCCCGGCTGCCCCCTCCTGTCAGGGAGTTGTGCAGAGCCACAAGGTCCCCCCTGATYCCCCTTTTCTCCAGGCTGAGCCCCTTTCCCAGCTCCCTCAGCCTCTCCTGGTGTTCCAGCCCCTTCCCCAGCTCCGTTCCCTTCCCTGGACTCGCTCCAGCCCCTCCAGGTCTCTCTTGTCAGGAGGGTCCCAGAGCTGTCCCCAGCACTGRAGGTGCCCCAGCAGTGCCAGCACAGGGGACGGGCACTGCCCTGGTCCTGCTGGTCACACTATCCCTGGCACAGCCCAGGTGCCACTGGCCTCTTGCCCACCTGGGCACACCTGGCTCATGCCCAGCTGGAAGTTTGTTCATGGCCCAGAAAGGAAAAGGAACAGGAGATACCTCATGGTCTATAATCTCTGGGGGTTCTTGACCTGGAATGCTGTGCCCTTATCTTTTACAGGCATTGCTCAAGGTGTTGCCACCCATAAATCCATTCCCTGACAGACAAGCCAGCAYCACAAACCAAAAATTTGGGGAACCTGGAAAACTTCTCAGCTCGGTGTAAAGGTTAACTGGTGCAAGGCAACGATTAGCCTGAGATAGATTCCCCCTGGAAAGGATGTCAGTGTGCTTGTTTTTTCACCTCCATGCCAAAAAGGCACCAAAATACAAGTACCCTACTAATGGGATTACCAGCCACAATTAGCACCATTTCCATTTGCCCTAAATAGCCAGTGATTTCACTGTGCCCTAAATAGCCACCAATCTACCTCTCTTTAATGTTAATGAAGTAGAAGAGCTGGCGCACACGAGCATTTCTAATTCAGAGGATCCGAGGGAGCCTGCACGCATCATTAACGTGGAGAGCTTCATTATCAGAGGAAAGAGCCTTCCCCTGAACTTCTCATGGCTTTATTTGAAAGAAACTAGGARGCAATGGTCCTAATGCAAAATTAACCCTCACTTTAAACTGCTGGAAGCCTTTACAAACTGTAAGGGGAAAAAAAGGATGACTCACTGAAAAGGCTGTATTTTTATATCGAAGCAGGTTTCAATTAAGGAGCAATTTGCTTTAGAAATATGGCAGGATTACAGGATAGGGCTTTACAGTCTGAGCCACAATTCACCAATTGTGACTGTATAAACTGTTATGTAATTTAGCTCAAATGCATTGTGCAGAACAGCTCAACAGATATGGGCCACAAAGGATTTGTTAAGCCAATCAACAACATGGAGTAGAACAAATATTAACTCTCCTGTTTATGTTTACCATTAACTTATTTATCCTAAGGGTCCATATCTGTGTGTATGAAGGCAGGCGCTGTGTTTAGCTCTAAATGCTTTCTGTTTGTGTAATAATCCATTATGATTATCCCTSTTCAAAAACAGGAAACAATTTAGCATCGAACTTCAAATGGGACACCAAATGTTTATATCAACGGTCCAGATTTATTGTTGGCCAAAGGGAGGCTAATTCCAAATTATGACCATAACAAACACTTTACAGGTTTAATGCTGGGCCCCAGACCAGTTCATTTTATTTTAATTGCCAAGAACTAAGAATTTTCAGCTGTTTTCAGTAAATGTGTGTATCTTTGTTGAGATACCAAGCTCATTATTCAAATCTGTCTTGTATTATGAACCCTAAGTAGCAGAGATTTTTTTTTCTTGCAAAGGTCTTTTAGGAAATAACCAGATCTTTGACCCTGATCCTGAGTCACCACCATGGTGAAGTAAAAGAAGAATTGAGATGATTTCCCGGGAATAGAGAGGGTTGTGACTAACAAGCCAAGGTGGCAGCATTCAGAGTAGCATTTGAGTTTACTATCCCTGAATTCTTAAGTCTGTTGTGTTCTTAAAACATTTACCAAGCTCCTATTGTTTACGAGCTGATATTTTCAGGAAAACTAAAATCAAATTGAAATTCTGGAAAGTGGTTGGTAAACAAACAGTTTGAATGTCTGCAGTGCAAGCATATCAAAGAGCAAAGGGGGACCCCTTGATCACCCTGCTTTTCCCAAAGATCTGAAGAATCCCTGGAAGTGTTCAAGGTCAGGCTGGATGGGGTTTGTAGAAACCTGGGACAGTGGAAGGTGTCCCTGTCCATGGCAGGAAGTGGAACGAGATGATTTTAAAGGTCTCTTCCAACACAAATCATTCTTTGATTTTAGGATCAATACGTTGGTTATGAAAGGGAGCCCCAGCTAATGCACCTGGCTTTGATCTATCCAAACCATAAAAAACATCCAGCAGACTTGTCAGATTTCTTCTTGCAAGGAAAGGAAGCTTAGGACCAGCAAATGTTGCCTTGATGGCAAGTTTATGTCCCTGCACCCAGAAATCCCTCAGACAATGGTCAAGCTGAGGGAATGTCTTGTTTTTCATACTCATAATCCTGTGCAGGATCTGGTTTTGCTGCCCATACTCCAAACTGCCTCGTGAATGGAAAGGTGTCCTCCACTGGGAAACAAATTTCTCTTGGTGGGATGTCTGAGATGCCAGAAATGCAGCAGAGTAAAAGTCAAATCTCTAAAGCTGAGCAGATGAGTTGACAATTGAACAGTAAACAGCCAATAATTTCATATTTTCCTTCCCCATTATGCCACTGGAGACCTCAGAGTGTGGATTTTGAGGACAAGTGACTGTGTAAGCTGCCCTCTGTGTGGGTTCAGTCATGTACATGGGGAGGACACATGGTCAGAGAGTGACTGAGCACACTGAGAGAAGAATCGTGATTGTCAGGGTGTTCC